TATGTATATATTGTAGTAATTATTTTGTACAAATTATTAGTCCCATGGGTTACCCTACCTTGATTATCGTTTAACATTATTGTATATTATAATATGTATAATAGTTATTACATACCTGCATAATGCATTTTGAGGTCTGCTCTGTTAAAAATAAAAATTACAAAGGATTTTTCATGCGGTGTGTTTATAGTATAAACTTTCTAATCATAATACAACTAAGGATAATTTTCAATGATAATCTTCATGACTATTAATTAAATGTATATACATTTCTTTGAATATAGACAAATTCACTTAGATAAAATACATGGAGATAAATTTTTCAAATAAATGCCAATTTTTGTGAAAATTTTCCTTGTAAACTTAAACGGCATATTAGGATCTGTGGATATTAGTATTATTTTTGGCATGGAAAATACGTTTCCTTTGCCTACTCCAGTAATTACTACTAACTTTACACTTTTTCCAGTAATACCTAACACAACCAATCGTACTCCATTAACTAATCCAGACCCTAGCTTCATATTTCTAATGAGCATCACTATTGAACCAACTTTTAAAACTAACTAGTGTCCCTGTTGCTCGAATTCGAGCAATTGCTAAGTATTACAGGTGTTAATTTAAAACGAATAACAGTCATAATTTTTGATGACTTTAAAATATTCCACTCAAAGATTATGGAAATACTCAATATGTACAAAACAGATCGATATAATCAACATTTCATGTAAATATATATCTTATCATTTTTCAAAAGCTGATCTTGTTTTTTAGTGTTTTCTACAAATAGGCTTACTCATAGCCGCATTAGGTTGTCCATAATAACGATTATAAATTCTTTTTCTTCTTCTTGGTGGTGTTCTATGATTTTCCTTTTTCCAAAGTTTGCAAATCGGCTCTTTCAATGATTACTAATAAATGCAACAGTTAATTCAGTTTTCTTTTTAGTAGCCTATATCAAATTATCTAGGCTCTCTTGCTTTTTTCCAATGTAATATTTACGCCAACCCAAATTCAAATAGTAAATATTCCATTTCAACCAAGTCAGTAAATGTTTGTAGCAAACTGTTAAATTAGCAAACTAATTGGCTGTGTACAATTAACATATGTTCTTCTCACTTTTAAATTCTGACAACAGCTGGAGTTTCATAACAATTTTGGTTCCCATGTTAATCTTATGGAGAAATACGAAACTTTAAAGGGCTCCAGGGCCTCACTCTCTAATTATTTCCCTAAAATAAAGATTTCCTGCACAACTTCACGTTACGCTCTTTCCAATGACACCAAAAACATCTCAATCGGTTCAGTAGTTTCAGAGGAGTAATTGTCACAAAAAACCTGCTTGCGTATTAAATAGATATAGATTTGTGTGGTGGCATTCCAGATCGTGCAATTAAATTAATATAGTCAATTAGTTGGTTCAACCTCTCTTAAGGGTTAGTATACATATTACAGTGCATATTACATACTGTATTACCATATGCTTTAAATAAAGTTAAACCACATGTTTTAATGTAAACAAAGCAAACATGACCTAGATTCCCATGTTATTTAAATGTGAATTATTTTATTCTGTCACAACCTTTTGGTGCATAATTAAGAAAAATGAATAATTTTCCCCAAAATTTCATGCCCAGACCTTTAAAATGAGACCCCTCCCAGCTTTCTACGCCCTCCGGTTCGCTCACAATTTCATTGTAAAATTTTGGGCTTACGGAATTAGATATATAGACTAGTGGCTTGTAGGGGCAATAGCCCCTATATATACATATACAGAGTGAGTTTTAAATGATTCCCCCCCTACTTTTTTCTACATTTCTTAAGATATCAACTCCGGACCACGTCAGATCATTGTAGAGTAGTAAGTACTTCATTTTGACTGGGTATACAATTTTGGCCGCCATCTTGGATCTGCCATATTGGATACAAAGTTTTTTTTTCAAAAGCAAAGGTAAGGTTGTGACCCATCGTTTCAAACTAGATTTTTACGCTGAATACGATGCTGCAATTCGTTTTTAAAAATCTTGATCCGTTCTAAAGTTATGAGTAGGCCTACTGTTTAAAACTTTATTTTTAGCCAATTTTAACATTGTGCAGTTACAAACTAAGACCATAATCGTATCCAAGTGATCATAACCAAGTGAAAATAGGTTGACAATGACTGGTGGTGTATACTTATCTTTATCTAGCTCTATTTTACGATTATAGTCTGAGTTTGTAACTGCACAATGTTAAAATGGGCTAAAAATAAGTTATAAAATGTTTCCATAACTTTAGAATGGATCAAGGCTTTTAAAAACGGATTGCAGCATCATATTCAGCGTAAAAATCTAGTTTGAAACGATGGGTCACAATCCTACCTTTACATTTGAAAAAAAAACTTTGTATCCAATATGGCAGATCCAAGATGGCGGCCAAAATTTTATACCCAGTCAAAATGAAGTACTTACTACTCTACAATGATCTGACGTGGTCCGGAGGTGATATCTTAAGAAATGTAGAAAAAAGTAGGGGGGGAACTCATTTAAAACTCACCCTGTATATATATATTCTAGTAATTATTTTGTACAAATTATTGGTCTCATGGGTTACCCTACCTTGAGTTATCATTTAACATTTTTGTATTTTATGATATGTAAAATAGTTATTACATACCTGCATAATGCATTTTGATGTCTGCTCTGTTTAAAATAAAAATTCCAAAGGACATGCGGTGTGTTTATAATATAAACTTTCCTTTCTAATCATAATACAACTAAGGAACATTTTCCAATATCAATCTTCATGACTATTAATTAAATCTATCTAGATTTCTTTAAATATAGACAAATTAAAACACATAGGGATAATGTCATCATCCAAATTGTAAAATGCTAATTCTATAACAAAATCTCTCTGAAAACAACATTTGTTGTATAGTATCCATTTTGGTCAATTCCTTGGTCTTCATTTGGTTCCACACTGGGTTTTTAAATAAATGCCAACTTTTGTGAAGGTTCGGCCTTGCACCACAATTTCACCAAATCAAATTGCGCAATGCACCACAATGAAAGTACCCATCGTACATTGGTCCTATGCTGTGCAATGGAATTTCATTTAAAAGTGGTAATCTATACAAAGGAATAAATTTATGTTCATCCGATGCTCATTTATTCTTCTTCCATTAATATCGTGCCAAATCTGGCGCCTGTTGTTCTCATTTCGAGGAACAATACATATCTCTGCATGATGGTCTTCCGACATTATACATTATTACTGTGCAAATAAGAACAATCCATTTTAAAGTCTTAAGTTTAAAAGTTTATAATTGTTTGTTCAAAAGATTTTATCTAATTTTCACTCCGTGTTGCTTACTACTTCACTATCAATTTTACAATAACAAAAAAATCCACATTCAGGTGTGGTTATATTTTTTTCAATTTATATAATCACAGCTGTGTTTACACTAAATAGAAAGACATAAAATTAGATTCCCATGTAATTTAAATGTGAATTATTTTATTCCGTAACAACCTTTTGGTTCATAATTAAGAAAAATGAATAATTTTCCCCAAAACTTCATAATCAGACCTTTAAAATGAGACCTCTCCCAGCTTTCTACGCCCTCCCGTTCGCTCACAATTTCATTGTAAAATTTTGGGCTTACGGAATTAGATATATAGATATTCCCCACGATGATGGTTTGAAGGCTGCCAAACATTTTCCTCTGGACCCACAAATTCTATACCGTCTGCACATTTTTTGACAACTCTCATTAAAATGATACTAACCATGAACAATTTCAGATTCATGGACAAACACTTCATACAAATTAAAGGCACAGCGATGGGTACACGAATGGCCTACGCTAATCTTTTCATGGGTCATATTAGAGCAAAATTTTCTTTCAAACAATCCTTTAACTCCTTTTCTTTGGTTAAGATGTATAGATCTTTATTGTTTTTTGGCAACACGGAATAAATTCACTAAAAGAATTTCTACAAGATTTTAACCAATTTTCTACTTCCTAGAAATTCACTTGGAATTATTCAGACAAAATTGTTTCTTTCTTAGATGTTGATGTCTCCATTGACAATCAAAAACTTTGACAAAAATTCATTTAAAAAAAACTAACAAAATGCAGTGAGGTACCTACTTACATTATCAAAGTTGTCACCCTATGTATGAAAAATGCAATTCCAAAAAGCTTTCAATTCGTGCTAAAACACTCTGCAGTGAAAAATCTGATTTTGAAAAATATATCACTAATTGAATTCTTTTTTCATTGAAAGAAAATAGAGGCTATTCTCAAAAACTAATATCCAATCAGATCAAAAAACTCAACCAAGATAATAGTTTTTCAAGTGATCCAAAATTTATTACTCAATACTCTGGGCTACAAAGATTAACAGTGTAATGAAAGTTGCATTCAATATTTTGAAATCTTCTCCCATTTACCTTCATTTACACATCCTCAGAGCCTGCCTTTGGCCCGTACAAAAGGTGCAGCTGCACATGGTTTTGCACCATGGGAGATTGGGAGGTTGTACCATGGGAGGTGCACCATGGTTTTACACTTGGTGCAAAAAACAAAAAAAAAATTAAAAAGTCCGTGAATTTTACATTTATGTCATTTATAAAAAAGGGGGAGTAAATAATATTATTATTCATAAAGATTTTCGTTAGTAATTATATTGTTCTGGCACTTTCTTTTTTGGTAGTAAAGGGCCCCACTCTGATTGTTTACACTAAGCCCTGCAAGACCAAAGCCGGCTCTGCACATCCGTTAATCCAAAGTCTCAAAATTCATGAGCATTCAAAATTAGTTTTTATTGCCACTCCCATGCTTGCTTAGTGTTTTCAATAATCTCTTCCATACACATACTGTGTAACTTTTAGTATTCACTCTTCGCCACAAATAGTCCAACTTACTTTTTGAAGAGTCACTATGTCCATTTTGTATTTCCCTAATTAATATTTTAGGATTATCTTCCATATAGGACAAAATAAAGTAACATTACTGGATAAAAACATAATATTTAATAAATAAAATTGAGATTGGTCTTACATCTATGACTTGTACAATAATTTACAGCTGAAGAGCCTTGTGTATTCTGTTAAGGCCGCGAGATGTAGCATTTTCTTCATGTTCACAGATGTATCTTTGACGCACTCCACATTCTGCACCCTGAAACCGCAATGATTATAAACTCAAACCATCATTGACAAAATTGACAACAATGACAAGAACAAACTTTATTCCATTGTATTATGCAGTTGAATAGACCATTGATTCCTGATTGGCCCCATTTGGAAAGGACTAAATCAAAACTTTAAGCAAGCTTTTGCAAGGTTTCGGTTTCAGAGACAGCTAATAATTCTGAATTAAATATATGTAATTTATGATATTTTTGTATAATCTTCAGGGACGTAGCTAGAGTATATGACCTTGGAAGGAGTGGCTTGCATTGTACATTCTGCATTCTGCAGGTGTAATTATAACACACTGTGACTCCTAAAACAATAGCTTTTGAGAAAATGTCAAGTAGTATAAAAAGTAAAAACGTTTTTTAAATTGCATTACCAATATAAAAATATCACTAAATACTTATTGGTGTTATAAGAAATTTTAAATTTTTGCCCGCCATATTGGGAAATGGTGGAAAAAGTGGAATTAATTCATATTTTTATGACATAAAAATATAGGTAGTTGAAGTTCTCCGTTTTATGTTTTTTTTTTCTAACAATAGTTTCTGGAATACCATCGGTGGCATTCTACAATGTTACCCTGAATAGTTTTTATCCAAACAATAATCTTTACATGTGAGAAAATATTTTTTTACGGCTCTATTATGATTAACACGTTATGAGTTTTAATATTCCTCCAAATATCATAAGTTAAGTAAAGTATTAAAGTATCATTTTGCTACGTTGAGTTGTTTTGATTAGTTTAAAATCTTTTTAGGGACAAATAAAGTTTATTGAAAATGTTTTTTAGTTAGAATTCCGGCTTTTAGACACCTCTAGAAAAATATATATATCTTTAAAATTGAGAGGAAAACCTTTACCCCACCCCAGCCACCCCTGCTTAAATATATCAGCTTGCCCCCCCCCTCTCCAATAAAATTTCTTGGTGGGTACCTGGTACTGGAAGAGCCTTGTTTTGGGTGAGTAACCGAGCGAGAGACATCTCCCCGCGCCTACAACAGTGTCCTCGGGACGAGTCGTTGGCCGCTTGGGTGTTACTGGTCGTCCAGTGTTTGACCAAATCCACAACAGGCCAGGGTTCAACCCTCCCGTCCAGAACTCTGTACCTGGATGAAAAGATTGTAGATTAAAATGCAGCCTTAATACACAATACCTTAATAAAAATAAAAATACCTTCAATACACATAAACCAATGACGATAAACAAGTACAGTAATAGTAATTTTCATAACATGGCACAAACCAAGAGCAAAGTACAGTACATGTTAAACCTTCTTAGAGACTCAGGTATTTTTATTACTTTAATACTGGCCCTTATTATCATGGAGAATATTATCGTTAATTTTACATACCAGTAATAATATGCTTGGAAAACAAACAATTTTAAGAAAACAATTAGAACTGACAAAAATTATGCTACCAAATATTTTTTTAAACAAATCATGCAGCATTCCTTTAGTAACTTTTCCACCTAACTCTCACGATTACGCAATGTACTGAGATGGTCTTCCAAAATATATACAGGTTTGAATTAATAATAGAAAATATTGATAAGGTTCTTTGTAAACTCTCCATCAGAACATATAGACTTTTGTTCAATGTTTAATGGGCCTACCTGGAAAATACTAGTCAAATAAAAGTTCAAAATGTTGGTGAATGGTGAATGTTTGGGCTATTACGAAAACATTACGAAATATGTAGGAAAAAACTATTAAATATGCATTAAAACTAAAATAGGGTCCACACAATAATACTGATACAACTTGACAAGGGGAATAACTACATTGTATACCGGCACTTAACAAATTAATTTCCAAGCATTTTGAGTAAGTTACATTTACAAGAACACTGGAGTAAGTACGGTTGATATAAACTTAAGTCACCTTGAAGGTAAGGGTCTGCTTGTAGAAAGGTGACGAGTTCTGTGAACTCCTCTCTACTCTCCAGCTCTACAAGGTTTGCCCCAAGACTCTTGCACATGGAAGCCGCAGACTTCCAGTTGAACTGTCGCTCACTGATGTGGTAGCAGTTCCGAGCGACTCTCGTGAAATTACCAGGGCAGGGATCTTACCAGGGAGAATAATGGGAAAGCATCAGTTTGTATTAGGAATATCTTCAGTACAAAAAAATACCTACTTAAAAAACCTTACAAAGATTTAAATCACACATCTAAAATTGATTTACAATGGAGTGTTAACATATTTTCATTCATGTTTTATTCTCTTTCTTAAATTGTTTAGTTAAAAATGAACATAAAGAAGAACTGATTTTAGAAAACTAAAGGTTTAAAAAACTGTTACAACAATGAAATTATTTTTATGTGAGTTGCTAATTTTATTCAATGTAGATTCTACAAACAGTACCCCACACAAATACACTAACTAACCTTCTCTCTGTGTGTTGGCCCCTTGCATCACATGGTACAACAGCTCCTCTGAACGCTTCAGCCTCTTCTCCATGAGATCCACTCGGTAAACCAACCGTTCAATGGCTCCCAGTAGGTAAAGATCAGTCTCCGTCACCTTAAACAACAAAAATACAAGGATTTTATCCAAAGAGACAAAAATTTTTACCAAGATGTATAAGAGCAAAGACAATTTTGTCTATGATAAGAGTTTACAATAATTTTGCTATACAAATAAAATTATGATCACACCGCTGTTACTTAGAGTATCCTTCAATTAGTTATTACAGTTCCCTACCAAAATATTTGACTAAAAATTGTAAGATAAACCTGGAATCATTTTTTATATTTAAATAGCAGAAACATGTTAGCTAACACAACTTCTTTTGCACCACGTAAGTACTTTTAATTTTCGAGCAAAGAAATTGGTAAAATGGTAAGCAAGACCTCTACTGACATAGCAAACAGGGATGCACTTGGTATCATTGTCTTTAGGAAACATGGGATTGATTATTCATAATCATTTGGATAAAGTGATTACTATTAGACTACTGAACAACGCCATTACAGATGAGGATTTAAACTTACATCATGCATGTGTCAATTGATAACAGTTTTAAAATGCCTTATGCATGAGTAATAAATCTGGAGACTATTAAACACTTGACACAATCCCTTCTCATTCACCAGAGATAACTGAATGACTTAAAATTGTCTTCAGCTGATCCACGAGGATGATACATTTATAACGCAGTGTATCACTTGTGTACCTCTTTGTTAGATGAGCCAGACACAGGAGGTCGGTTGAGTGGCCGCTCTACTCTGTCGTAGTCAGGCTCTGGCTTGTTAACTACGTAGCCAAGTGGAGGAGGTAACATCTGAGTGCTCAGCTGTTTCATCACCTTCTCCTCTCTCAGTGCCAGCTGTTCTATCAGGGACGGGATCCCAGGAAGATCAAGAGAACTGCCGCCATCCTCATCCCCTGTGTTTACATTCATCTCGTCAAATTCTAGATTCATTTTTTGTTAGTAAAGCATTAGTAAGCTATGTTATAATGTTAGTAGTGTAGTGTTTGTTTCTGCTTGAAAAAAAAGTCATTACTCCCAAAGCCATTCTCAAAGTCAAGCTCCAAAAGGGTTCCACTAGAAATTCGCTGACTACACTCCAATGGTTAAAGACAAGAAACCAGTAGTTTGAGTGTTCTTCAGTGCAACAAAGTGACCCCCACTGTTACGTTTAATGCGGTCTTTGATTGTTGAAAGATTGTAAATAAGTCAACTAAACATTAATCTGTGGTTTATACCTTCTACAGGATCATCAGCCTCCACGTTGGCTGCGAATGCAACAATCAACATCAGTAGCACAACACCTCTGGTTTTCATTATCTGAAACACATCATGTAAACGCTAAATACAAACTTGTTGGTTATGTTTTTGTAACTATACTGTACTAACTATATAGGGCTAGGCAAAAGTCTTGAACCCCCCAGTTAACTTTTTAACGCGATGCAGTAGTAAAGCCATACTCGGCATATATTTACAACATAAGAAATTGCACTTTTTCATCAAAGTTACAATTAAGTTTGCCCCAGCCCCCAAAATGGGGTATTTTGAGGGCAGCCCCAAATTTTCAAATGTAAACAACTATCATATGACACCTCATTTTAAAGGTTTTATCAAGAGAAATTGAATGGCACAAACCAGAGGTAAATATCCCACCCCTAATCAAAATGGCGGCCAATTTAATTTAAGATAAGCAAGCAAGATAAAGTCTGGTTGGTAAATATTGGTTTTAAAAATACAAATTGAAAAAAAAAATTGACATCCCAATCATATCAACCGATTTCGCCGGTTCCGGAACTCAATTAATTTTATCCTGCTCTACACATTCATACCAAATATTAAAATCGAACTAAATTTACTCGAGTTATCGTGGTCACGGACACAGATATGTACATGTATAAAATTTTAACGATAGTGAAAAATCGAAATGAAAAATCGGAAAAATCGGTCCCGGGTTTAGGTCTTTCCGTACCGCTACGGTTATGAGGAAATTCGCTAAAAGTCACCCTTTCAGTCTGGCAAGTTTAACAAGTTGAAAATAAGATTAATAGGAAAACAAACTGTAGCTATATTTTATAGATTCACAACCTGTACGTGGCTCTATATAACTATGGTTTTTTTTACAAAACTGAGAACAGCTTTTATGTTTTGTGATTCAAACTTCACGGAAATGTTTCTACCGTCAAAGATAATGCATATTGATACTTTAATACCTTTTTACATTTTTTTTATTGTTTTGTCATTCTATGGACGATTTTTCCACAGAATACTTAAATTAGCGAATAAAGTTATATTTAATATTTACTCTTTCATAATATAAAGGTAGTAGTAATATCAACTTTTTTATTGTGCAAATAACAATATTTTTAGACGCTGACAGAATCATGTTGGAACAATAAACGCCTATTTTTAGGCACTTGTCAATCTATAAATACACATGTTATTAATGCATGCTCATGCCACAAAGTTGTAGTTAAATAATTAATTAAACAGCAATAATTGATTAATTCATTAGTCAGCAAAAAGTGATATATTAATAATCGTTGTCTTCTATTAATAAACTTTAACTTCTTTAGCCTACTATTTTGTCTCCTATTGATAATCTTTGTATTCTATAAATAATCTTTGTCATATTATCAAAGCGGAAATAGTTATTTGTGTAACTAGTGGGCAAAGTGGCACTTTGCTGCACACGAGAGCAATGTTTACGCACGTGCCGCAGGCGAGTGCGGAATGATCTCGAGTGCTGCAAAGGCCTTTTGCACTCATTTTACACATTATATTTTCCCTACAATCACTATAAAGCATAAATAATTAGTCTTTCAAACACTATACAATACGTTTTTAGGTTCAGCTGGCAACATAAATGGTGCCCTAGAGAAAGTAGTACCCGCGGTCCGTATCACTCCGCTATTTTTCCTCGGCAAGAAATGTGCTCCGCGTTTTGAGAATAAAGTTCCGTATGTTTTTGTAATTTGAAGTGGTTTCCGCACCTAAAAAAATGCTTTAAAAGTATTTTCTTGTTTATTAAGATCGTAGGAATGTTTTAAAAACGTTTAAAAGAAAAGTGAAGAAAGTTCAGAAATACCGAAACTATAAACACGAAATGACAGGTTAAATCGTAGTTATAATAATCAATCAGCTGCTCATAGTATTATTATCTTTAAGTGTTGCCAGCCTATTTCCAAGCGTAGGCTACACGGATTACGGGCATAATAGAACCACGCTGTTTTGTGTTGTTTTGTTGGAATCCTGATGTGCGGCAAAGTATAAACCGTAGGCCTACGGCAAAGTATAAATATGCAGCAATTAGCAGCTTTCTGTACTATAAACAGTACAAGGAATCCAACTTTGTCGGGTGACTGTAGGAAAATGAGTATTACAATTACAGCATTCATATCCGGATCCGGTTCTACAAGGCCCGGGAAACCCATGTTTCAAAAGTTCTCGGAACGGTCGGTCTTTCATTACACGCATAACAGACGAGCGGCGAGCGACGAGCGCGGGAGTTGGGAAAGTTTGGCGGGTCCTCTCCTCATTGGTGACACGAATCCTGTACTAGGCCTATATGATATTACACTCCAGAATACTCAGAGCGTATTGAGAAATATATAACTCTAAAGAAGTATCCAAAGCGATTGCCGATTGTAATTAACGTACATGCAATTGACTAAATGTTAGTAAACATTACCACAACGCAACAATTGTTTGACTTGGAAGTATTTTCTAAGTGAGAACAATTAATTTACTGTAATGTAACTAATTAACACATTCTTGGATTCCCAAACAAGTTTATTTTAGACAATAATATGACGATAAAATATATTTTCACGCAAGTAAAATCAAGTACATGCAATCGGGCCGATACGAAATAAAGGTTTAGTAATTAAATGTACGGATTAATTTTAAGGAAAGCCTTATCAATGGCAGTATCATCTCTTAGGTATTTTCTCTAAGAGAATATCTTTATTATTGGTATGGGAGAAAGTATCGACTTACCAGAGCGCGGGGTCCCGTTATACTGGGTGGATGGCGCGACTCGCGGGCTGGCGGGAGAAAGCCGTGGAAATCCCGCGGAGTGAGAAGACAGCTGTGAGGTGTGTCAGTGTCACCCAACTCGCTCACTGACATAATAAGCAGTCATCACATAATCTATCTATACTTAACACATCGTACGTCAACTTCAACTGACCATTAAAACTGCAGGACCACATCTACAGCTAGACGAAATCGCGACGGATTGGCCAGAAGCCTTAAAATCTAATTTTCTATAAGGACAGCTGTACAACACACTCCTACAAAGTGGAGTTACTGTAATTAATTTTGAGAAAAAAAGGAGTACAAAATCTCGCAATCATAATTGATATAACTTACGAATACGCTCACAAATAATGTTGAATGTTTTGTCACATATAAAAACTAATCTAGGGAGATGATTTTAGAAACGTTGGTTGGGTGACATTTTAGTTTGGCCGACTAACCTCGCTTTATCCAATATTGGCTCCTTGATAACCTCAAGGGAAATATACAGGAACCGACAATGCGACGGTGGCGTCGGCGTCATTAAACCATCATAAGTAAAAAAAAAACTGTCAACATTTAACATAAGTCCTACCAAATGCGCTTAGCCAGCTTAACTTATTTGACCTTGAATACATTATTTAAGACATTTAAAAATCTATTATGAGGTTGTTGATGCGTTATTTGTGCAAAGTAAATTAAATTCTTTCGAAATAATGTCATGTCATATAGACAACCATGAAAGTTTAGCAGCATTAAACGTTTTTGGTAATGTTTCAATGGTCAAAAATACGCTATTACGATTTTTTACAAAGTCAACTATCCAAAACCTACGTCACAAAGCAGGTGTGGGTCATTTATTTAAAATGGTTATATTATTATTAACCTTAAATTATGTTAAGCAATTAAATAATGTTAACTATCAAGCTTACACGAGTTTGCATAGGAAATATGATTTACAGGTAGAGGTAACATTTGATTGGTCAACCTACTGTGTACAGAAAATATGACTATGTTTCCCTTAACATTACCCGCATTAGTCGAGAAGTCTAAGGAACCTCTCTACACTCTACGGGTAAAACTGTAAGTCAGCCTTTATCAAAGCAAAAAGCCAGAGACATGACTAAACGCATTTCTTTGGTCACGAACGAATTCAACCCTATAAGAGCGAATGGGCCACATTTTTATGGAAGCTGCATAGTGCAATGAGGAGGCAGATAGTGATTTTCACCCTAGTTACCGTGATGAGCTTTCGTGACGTTTAAGGGGTAAACAAATTACAGTATTAGTGTTGCTTATTAAAAGCTATAGTGTCACTGGCATTAGATAAAACAATCCTTATTAGGAACATTCTTTGCGTGATATTATATTTTTCCTCGCATATGTAAAATCATACTTTAATTCTCAATTCTCTTCAAATATTTAATTGCTTGTGTGATTAAAACTTTATTAAACCGTTGTCAATGGAGTATTTTTCTATTTCTCTAACAATTATTTTTTTAGGTCATGTCATTTGATCATTTATGTATATCAGCGTAACATAACTTTAATTTTTATTATAATATTTTCTGGGACTAAAACACAGATATGCCTGCTCTTATCCGCAGCTAACTGAAAATGAATGAAGCCCAACAATGAAGCTGACTACCCTGCTCCCTCGTACTGAACCATTATTATTGTTAACGTAACATTAACATATTTTTCAAACAAACTATAATAGTTCAGTGAGTGAATTAGAATAAAGTATGAAACACAACTATTATACACTACAAATTAATAGTTAACAACTTTAAAGGCTTCTGGGGCAGAGCTCCAAGGGAATTGACCTTGTTTCTCTTTTGATGGCTCATCTACAGACCAAGACCTTTCTTTAGAGACCCCTACCAAGTTTCTACGCCCAGCCGTTCTCTCAAATTAGCTGTGACAAAAACCCGTTTTCCTCCATAAGAATAACATGGGATGGGAATTCAAAGGCCACTGGGGCAGAGCCCCAAGGGAATTCACCATGTTTCTCTTTTGATGGCTCATCTACAGACCAAGCCCTTTCTTTAGACACCCCTACCGAGTTTCTACGCCCAGCCGTTCTCTCAAAATAGCTATGACAAAGAAAAACAGTTTCAAATTAATATTTAGATTATCGTAGTTTAATGATTGTTGTAGTTGTTGTTTGATGAATCGATATGCTGCAATACAAAACAAGTTCGTTTGAAGAGTTTTCACTTTATAAATAAGTTAACTAATTTCATTGCGAAACTATGTAACTGTTACAATATTAATTGGCTCGATTAGGCAATTCAGGTAGGTTAATTTGACTTGTGCTATCTTTATCGAAATGCTAATCGAATTTTTTTTTCTCGTCAGGAATTATTTCATGATGTTTTAATGGTTGATGATGATAATAATTAAGACGTTGTGGTTTGACATTACGCTTTAAAGTACTGTGTCAATTTATTTCAATTAGTTGTGCCACTTGCTACTTGTAGCGCTGCAGTTGATACGTTCAAATAGTTGATGCGTTTGCCGCTAGTCGCGTTGCAAGCTGGTTCCTCAAGTAGTTGAGACGGTGGCGGCCAGTGGCGCTGCAAGCTGGTTCCTCAAGTAGTTGAGACGGTGGTGGCCAGTGGCGCTGCAAGCCGGTTCCTCAAGTAGTTGAGACTATGGCCGCCAGAAGCGCTGCAGCCCGGTTGCAGTTGCCTAGCAACGATCCGCCAGTCCGTCAGTCCTTCTCCCGTGTCCGGCTCGTGGCGGGCTGTGACGGTCGCAGTTCCATTCCGCGATGTTGATGCTGCACCCGTGCTGTCACGTTCGTTCAGTGTTGTGTTATTTAGCGTAATTATGTGTCGGTTTTAGCGAGTGTGATCAGTTAAAGGATTAATCCAGGATATTGGATAGCAAAATCTGCGATGGCTCACTTAGGAATTACAAGGGGTAAGAGAACATTATATTTTTCAATATATTTATTATATTTCCTTTTATTATTTAAAATAATTTCTTGTAATGTGTAAAACTAATATACCGTACCTATAATGTTTATTGCATGATAATATATGACGCTGAAATTTAGGTTATAATAGGGTGTGTATCTTAAGTTTCAGAAGAAAATCATATTCTCTCCATAGAATTAAAAAAAAAAATGTGTAGGTGTCTGAAAATTAATTTAAATTAGAAACGCTTGATTCGTGACAGTGATGGTGCTTTACTCGGGTTGCGCGCTGCAATATTGTTATTCGCATGGGGTATATTGATCTGAGGGTGGTCCGCACTCGGGCCTCTCTCATCGGACCCTCTGGAACACTCACTTTATTTATATTACTACGAAATACTCAACTGTATTTGTTGCAGTATTTACTTTTGTTGTCGTGGTGTACCATACGAGAGACAGCAGTTACAGATTCTCGATAAGAGGGTTGAACAGTGAGAGGGTTGCAGCTAACTAAGGGCGTGGGTGTTCTCTCCACTTTGTTTACAAATCTCTCTACAGTCTAGACCGTTGAACATTTTATTAGAGGCGTGGTCTTTGTACCATGACACTCTAAATTGAAATTATATGTTTATATTTCGTGAGCAGTTTGTAAATAGCAACACAATCTTAATAACGTCTATAACACATATATGGCCGGGCTCTGTTTGTTTTGTCCTTTTAAGAGAAAAAAGTACGATGTACATGTTCTGAGGTGATGTAAGTCTAAGGAATTTTTACAAGAGGAAATTCTTATTTCCATTATAAGCTACGTACAGTTGTAAGCTTTAAAAAATTATTGGAGAGGAATTTTCCATCAAAAGCGATTTTTATCTCTCGCTTGACAGTTATTGAAATATCTCTTTCTCGCGACTTATGATTATTACGTTATATTAATACGGTATCAGTCTATAATTTCTTATGTTGACTTACATCCTACTCCCACGCATTTACAAAACTTGCAATTATTATTTACGGGATGTTTATTCATTTGCCTATGTGTTTCGTCTTAACACTCATTGTTTTCACTTTATGGGACTCGTCTATTACGTGAACGCATCCTACGTCAATCCTGAACTAAAAACTGTCTTAGTAATGTATTCGAAATTAAATACAATCTAAGCTGGAGGCAAAAAACTCTAGTGCAAATGCTCAAACATTGTCGCTGTCTAAATGTGCAGTTCTTTTGTGATCCGGTATAGATAGATAGTTTTGACGATTCGTTGGCGGTTTAAGTACACTTATGACATCTTTATATTGACAGTCGGTTATGTAGGTAGCACCCTACAAGTAATACAATATCAACTACCCGAAGGTGCCCACCTCTGCAGTAGTTGAAGGAATCTTTTGTGGCACTTCCGGAGCCTTGAAACCCGAACCCCCGACCCTCCGACCGGCGCGGCCCACACCTACACTGTACTGCGGCACAATGGACTGGAGTAGCCGAGTAGTGGAGTACGAGACATGGACAACAACAGCCCAGTATGTATATTGTTGTGACGACAGTATGTATATTGTTGTGACGACAGTATGTATATTGTTGTGACGACAGTATGTATATTGTTGATGACACGAAAACTGTGCTATGGCCACCATAAAACTGTACTGAACAAAATAAAATTTATGATTTCCTGTAGGCCCCTTGGCAGATCGCCAGAGCTAGCTGCAACCATACACCAGCATACAACGACGGAGGATATTTTGTTGAAGTTTTAATGAATTGATAAGAACTTTTAACGGGGACCCAGTAAACCTTAATGAGGTGTTAAATACATAATTTTATTGACATCAATGTCTACATAATGTGTAAATGGCTACATCCACTTAAATTCTTGCCAATTGGACACTGGTTTGCCGTGTGTGTTTTTACACTTCTGAACAGCTGATGGCATAGTCGTGTGTCATCGGCATCTGGAATCTGGCGGCAAAAACATGGGACTGGAGACTGGACCACCGCGGTCTGTGTTGTCAATGTACTGGGTTTTAGTAGGAAGTATGGTCACGATGATACGTCTCGCCAAATATCACGAGACGGATTTAAAAATTCTCGATAGAAAATGTATTTCATTTAATAAAATTGAATAATAATCTCCTCTATTGTATCTCAGTCTATTGTACATGGCTTTGCGTTAGATTTACAAGGAAGAATAATCCAGAGTGGTTTTGTAATTTCTATACACCCTTTATTGTTCTACCGCGTTAATACATAAACAACCTTCAATCTATACACAAATTGTAACTCATCTTGAAAATATAAAACCCATCGGCTTTTAATTAGGCTTAAAACGGCTGGCAGTCATTGTGTGAATGGATAGGATGCTCCATTTGTGACTCAGCTCTCTCCCTCTTGTAATTGCGTAATTTTAAATTTCAGTGTTTTTTTTTTTTTAATAATTAAAATCAATTATAAAGTTTTAATCATTGACTTGTAGTCACAACCAGATTGTCTGAGTTTGTCATGTGTCAGACCGTCGTCATCATCATCGTCCATCAGTCGACTGTCGACTTATCTAAAGCTGTCAAGTGTTGGAACTCTTACAAGACGCTGGGCTTGACACTGTTGCTGCTAATTCAATACTGTGTATTGTGTGGGGTCATTGGTACGCATTAGGGTGTATTTCACCTAACACACATCGTACGGCAGTTGTTGGAGATAGTATTGATTTCATTGAACTGTTTTTGGCCAATCTTGGTTTATCTTTTATCAACATTCTAGTTCATAACTACCGCATAAGGAGACTTCTGAGTAGATTCTATGTTATGTTTAAGAGCATTAGCCATACTTCTTAAAGACTAAGTTGTAGAGTCTAGATCTAGATTATAAAGGTTAAATGGTTATTGCATCATTAATTAATTTCCTCCTCGCGAATATTTTAGATTGCTCTCAGAAAAAAAAAACCATTACGTGTTCTACAATCGATTAGAACACAGAATCTTCTTTGTCTGTAGCCAATTTGCTATGCCAATAAAACACATAGTTTAGTTTGGCGAACCTCTGGCAGTGTGTACTACTATTAAAATGATATTTTCTCTCTAATTTTTAACAGCCATTTCGATATTCGATGGGCTATGAGAGATGCTACAGTTTACACTGCGTTGTTCCTTCAGCTTGATCCGATTGAATGATCGATGATTGTGCGATTGACATCAGCACACTCTCTGCAGCAGACCTCCTAATCACGTGACAGACGCCCCAGCTCCAAACAAAAACACAATACAAGCACAAGAAATGCCCTACATCCACGCCTAGCCATGGCTGACCGTTCTTATGCAACCAGCTGATTGCGCTGCGGTAATGACCATAAACTTGTTCTGCAGCGGCTCTCAGCAAGAACTACCGAGCCAAGGCGTGGGACGTTTAATAATGCAAACAAGAAACTCAATCCAAACATTTCAAAAGGACTAAGCCTTTACACCATTTTTGTAGTAGAAGTTGTCAGTTATGGTCACAATACTGTAATGGTAAATTGTTTTATCAGTTATTCAAAGGCTTAAGTTATCAGTAGGAAGCAATCTAAGTAACTTAAAGCTTAGTCTATATTTATCGAGTTGTTGCAAATTTATGCAATGCCTTTCTAACAGGGGTTTGAAACCTAATATTTTTAACAATTGGATGGTGTAATTTTACTAATGTACATATATTTTTATACTGTAGATTTTTTTGTGTTGTTATGCTGTGATTATGAAGAAAATTTCGATATCTTTTTGAATCAGCAATTTTGCAATCAACCTAATATAATTTAAAAATAAGTTATTGTGTTGAATACATACATAGTACATAATATGGAGACAGTGGCCTATTGTTTCCGTTAACATTTTCTCTCTTAACGGAGCCCAAAAATGGTTTCGGAGTAATTTGAGACACAGAGCTACAGACTACATTTTTGAGGTTCGATTTTGATTAAATTTGACATGTTGAGTCTAATCAATGTTATCTCTTGCAGTTTCTTTTTTTTAATTTTGACTGTCAATGGGAATTGAAAAATACTCCCACCGCAGCAAACCTGCAGACTAAGCGGATTTCCATTTGCCTGATTGGATTTACACTAAAATTTATCCTTAAAAATATCACATTTATTCCCTATTTAAATATAATTAGTTTAACGAGTACTTAGGTTTGTTGCAACAGGGAGAGTAAAACAGTATTTTTTTTTGTCAAATGTTAATAGTTTATTAAGATATGAATGCATTTTCCAAATTTGATCAAAATACTGTATGTCCATAAACAAGCAAACTACAACAACTTACTTATTCTCTATAAGAGTAACATGGGAATTTTTCATTTAGAATTTTCTCCGTAACTATTAGGCGCATAAAAAAACGTCAATATACTAAACTATTTTTAGCTATACAAAATAATCAATAAAGAAATTGCAAAATTTTGTTTTTAGGGCCAAGAAAACCCAATTTTTACCCCATAAAACCCCCGTTCCCATAGTACGATCATGCTGGTTTGCGAACTCGTCAGAATAAAAAATGTAGGTTATATAGGACATTTTTTCTCTTATATAAACCTACAACGTAGTACTCATGGTAAGACCTGGACCCGGGAGCGATTTACTTTTTCGTTTTGAGGTCCATAGAGGCCAAGAACGCCATCCGTTCAAATTTCATATGTGTGTGTGTCCGTTAGCACGATAGCTTAAGCAAAAATGATCCGATTTCGATGAAATTTATTATAGGCTAAACTATATGTTTAGCACACACTATTATGTTACTATTACGTTATGTACTATTTTATAACTATTATGATATGAATGACACACACACATATGAAATTTGAACGGACGGCGTTTTTGGCCTCTATGGACCTCAAAACGAAAAAGTAAATCGCTCCCGGGTCCAGGTCTTATCATGAGTACTACGTTAATAGCTTATTCCCTATTTGGGAACTTCGCTAAGAAATCACAACAATCCAAGCAAAGTATGTAAAAGAGTGCATCTTTACAGATTAAAAATCCATTAAGAA